AAGGATGCAGATGAAGGACCAGAAATACAGTTCAACAAAATCAGTTTCTTATTTCACAGAACTATCCAGATTTGGGAATAAGCTCAGCTAACAGCTCTGCTCTCAAGCTAATAACGTCAGATGGTTCCCCAACAGGGTATAAAGAATTGAAGAGACACTCCTTTGCCTTCACCCTCTGGTCAAATTTGGCCAGGATCACCAAAATACCATCCAATGCCTCATGATGTATTTTCACATCAAGCTGTTTATTCTGGTTACCCTGCACACTTAAAGTCTTCCGTATATTATAAATATTTGCATGGTTCTTACAAGACATAGCTGTGCCACTCTAGTTGAAGTGTAAGGAAGGAAAATTATGCCAGTAATGAGGGAATTCTCATTTTCATTATTTCTCCTCCTTCTTTCCAATTACATCCAAGTAATAAAGATTGACTGCTGGCCGTGCCACTAGCTCAGCAAACCAGCACATTAGCACAGAGCTTCCCAAACTGTGGTCCACAAACCCTCAAGAGCAGCAAAGCCAGAAAACAAGAACTACAGCTGGTCCCTAAAATCAGATTACATATAGGTCCTTGCTTTTTTCCACATGGATCCTAGTTGCCACTTCCTTGGCTCTGAGTTTCCATACATTTCAGGTTTGTACTTTGTGTCTCAGAAGCCAAGATATATCATTCTCAGGGCAGTACCAGGTGGGAATTTTACATGGACTAAACACCAAAGCAAAGTGCCTTGCCTCATCTCTTTAGGCAGGTAGGTGGAAAGCAAAGCTTCAGCTGGCAACTCTGAGTTTCCAAAGCTACAAGATACTATAGCCCTGGGTCTTTGGGAGCCTACCCACTAGAATTAAGTCTTCACATATAATTTTGAAGCCTTTGACTTCTTTAAAGTGCGTACAATTTTAATATGTTTTCACAATGGAAAAGAGACACGTGCATATAAATTATTAATTTTAAGTTTAATAAATAATAAAACTACCTAGTCTCATTTCCTTTCGTTGCTGTCTACTCTCTATAACTAGTGTTCTAACAAAGCATTTTGCAAATTCTGTGATTTACTGAATTTCTCTGTTGTTTAAAGCATCACCTGAACAGTCAGATATAGGTATTCTGTTCTTTGATGGGCAAATCACTACCAGTCTCAGCTAGTTTTCTGTAGCACAGGATCTCTTAAGGAAATCAGGAACCACTGGAAAGATAAGTGCAGTTCTGTGCAGTGCCTGTTTTGAGTCTTAGGAGGTTTGGGAGAAGTCAAAAGAAACTGGGAGTAAATGCTGGCATAAGCCAAGAGGGATTAAGGAAATTACATTTTTCTTTCTATAGCAATCTCTCTGGCCATAGGAGACATCCTACCTTTTTTAACAACAACAACAGAAATACAAGGCAAGAAGAGCCTTAGATGACGAGCAAAGGAAGAAAACTGTTCATTTTACTGACTGTCATAAAGAAAATCTGGATGTTTGGAAGACAGCGTGTGGAAAACAAATGTTCTTTCCTGGGTATTTCACAGTGAAATACAAATATTTCATTATTAAATAAAAATAGTTTTGGGATCATATGAACTCATCTTTAGTCTTAAGGTTTCAGCAAGTCAACAAAAGGAAATTGAAGTTCATAAAAATGAATGAAGTCAGGCAAGTATCATGTATCAGGTGACAAGTTATTTCAGGAGCTTACAAACCAGAGCAGTGATACAATGATGGCTCCTCTGAATCTGGCAGTATTCCAGGAAATGGCCTCTGAATTGCAGTTTCCATTACAGCAGCAAGTCTAATTATTTTTTGTCCATGTTTCAGTACCTCAATACCTCAGAGTAGTTGCAAATGCACAAGAGCAAATTCTTCAGGAAAATGCAGAAATCTTTTCATGGAGAAAAGACCTATTTGAGGACTAGGAGATTTTTTCTCTGTTAGTAGCTGCTGGTTTGCTGTAACAATTGACTGATTCAGCACCAACACTAACAAGGTAACCCCAGCCTCTGACATTTGTGAAGAAGCTTTGTGTTCTCTTCAACCATCAGAAAGAAGAGCAGAAATTTTCTGTTTTCACAGCTATAGGACAGCTTTTAATAATGTTGCAGCATGAGCGCAGCAGCTAATCCAATAAAACTTGTCAGGAACATTTAAAAATTAAGGTCTCTGAGATTTTGTTTCCTATAAATTCACCAGAGTTACAAAAAAAGAAAAGAAAAGAAAAGAAAAGAAAAGAAAAGAAAAGAAAAGAAAAGAAAAGAAAAGAAAAGAAAAGAAAAGAAAAGAAAAGAAAAGAAAAGAAAAGAAAAGAAAAGAAAAGAAAAGAAAAGAAAAGAAAAGAAAAGAAAAGAAAAGAAAAGAAAAGAAAAGAAAAGGAAAAGTTCCTCAGAAATGCAGCACTCATCGGAGCTGCACAGGGCTGAGGATTGTTTTATCTCCCACTCTGCAGGAAAGATAGCTGAAAGTACTGGGAAACAGGCTGTAGGGATGCACAAAATGGATTGGTGTTAATGAACAGAAACAGGAAGAAGGAAGTGAAAAAAATATTTCTGAAGGAAATCAAAGCATTTGCTCAAAAAAAATAAAAAGCAGAAACAAGTTAAAATAGACATTTAATTAATTTAATGCAATGACTGCTCTCTGTTCATGGAAAAAACAACATTTTTTATTTGGAGGTCAAAGCATGAAAAAAAAACAAACCATCAACTACTCTCTGTCACCAACCACCTAGAGAAGGGTGGAAGGGAAAGTTAGAGACAGCAAAGCATGTATGCAAAGATAAATTCTGTCTTTTTGCAGAGATGCTTCTACTTTAATTTCACAAAGTAAAACATGACAGATAACTGACAACTTGAAAAACAAAACAGCATCATTATTAGTTTGTAATCATCCCAAGACTTTTGATCACTAGAAATGGAATTTTTTTTTCTGCTTTTACTTAAGCCAGTATTTCTAAAAATCATCTCTTATTAGTTACTTTATCCAGTGTGAGAAGGTGAAGAGCTGCATCTACAACTTCATGCTGTGCAAACCTCATTTGGACATGATCACCATCAATCACTCCTACTGTGATGTAGCATGTGCAAGGGAAACAAAACAGAAATTGTGCTGCAGTATTTGACACCAACCACTCCCCTGCTCATATGCTTTAGTTCACAGAGAACCCAGTTGGCATATGGTTATTCTCTCTTTTTGGGACCCCAGTCTTTTCTCTCCCTCCAAGCATTTGAAAATAGCTTTTATGGTTTCAGGAAAAAGACAAAACCCTTTTCTTGTCTCTCAAAGGATTAAGGCTTTCTTACTGAAAAGCATGCCAAAGACATATTACTATGTACCATTTTGCCTTTGTAAATACACATACATTACTTGCAGTGATATCTCTTTTTATCATATGCTTTGGTGGAAGATGAATATTGTAAAAGGCATCAGAATGCAGTGAGTATCCTTTGTGGCAGTATCATGCATAGTCTTGAAAAGAGCTCTTAACACCAGCTTCCTACTGTAGCTCTCTAGCACACACCTCACCTATCTGTCAGTGCTATAATCTTGACCAGGAACAGTCAGTAGTGGCACAAGGCTAAAAAGAGCAAGAAGGATAGTGTTTGGCTTTTTCATAAAGGTCTAAAGCTAGCAATAGATACAAAACAGTATTTATTAATGCAGAAGCAACCAGAGTCCAATTCAGACTGCAGTCTTACTGAACACTCTACCAGCTTACCTAGGATATAAAGAGAGCACCCTCCTTGTGTTTCACAGCTCTGGTTAGTACCACCAATTCAGTGGACTTGCACTAGTTTATCACATCCTGATTCCTTGGTATGACTCAGGTCAGCAGAAGTTGCCTGCACTTTTCTGTTTCCTCATGCACCAGCACTGCAGCATGTCAGTTTTCAAACAGCTGTACAGCAGCACACACTAGAGAATAGCTCTTTCCTTCTCACACACAGCCCTCCCTGTACTTCTGACAATCCATGAGAGCACAGACAATCATTAATATGGGCATGGCAACATCCTATTGCAAACACGCTCACTCTCCTCCTTAAATGCCAGGATAGAAGTGGTGCCACTTCACAATAAACCTTACCTCCCTCAGCATGTTAATAAACCACTCTTGAACAACAAGGTATTTAAAGGCACCTCTTGAGGACTTCCTACATACGAATCTGGACTGGAAACTTTGAACTAGAAATCACTTCCTCTTCTCCCCTAGCAATCAGGCTGCTCCCTTTTTTACAGGACAAAGAGCATTTGTAACCTGGACCGCCCCATTGAACTTCCTTAGTTTAGCCTGTGGAACCATTTCATGGCAGCAAAATGCCCAACCATCATCCTGCAGTTGAACAGCCACCTCATATATTAAGAAGATGGAGAAACACGTGCCTGTATGTCCTATCAAGGTGTCCTGCTGATGCATGCCTCATAGTGATTTGATAACCTCTTGCCCCAGAAGAAGTGAAGAGGGCTCTGGTTTCCTTCCACCCTTCAGAGCCATGTCTTCAGGAAGGAATGTCAGTGCTAGGACCCACAACTGACTGGGACAGAGTATGGTCACCTAAAGATTCCTGATAAAGGCTTTAATGTTGTCATGTGCCAAGAATGCCATCCGCGATACAGCAATGATACAGCATGTGCTCAACCTTAAAATCTGTGATTTCTGTGATCTCAGTGATTTCTCCAAGACTATGCATGGCTTTTAAGGCAAGCACACATGAGAATGAAAGATGAGGGCAACAAAAGGGCCTCACAGTGGAACAAAGTGATGAAGGCATTCATGCAATTGGCTTCTATTGCCTTGTGTCACAGTTTTGAAACACAGGTGAAGGCCAGGAAATGAGAGGATGAATGAAAACCTCAGCAGCTTGTCCACACAAACGAATGAGGCCACAGAAGGAGTAGCCTAGGCACCAATTTGTCCCAATTTGTCCAACTTCCAAGTTTAAACTTTTAAGTTGAAAAGCAGCAACAAGTTCAAATTCCATCTCAGTAAGCAGACACAAATGCAACCGTCTCACTGTTTCAAACATGTACTCACCCAAAAGAGAAGGTTGAAGACAAACATTAGGTACTTTATACACTGCAGGCAGTTGTGAGCCATGCTGCACCTCTTCAGTTCTAGGAGAAAAATAAATGAGAGATCCAGGTAAAAGACAACGTACTTGTTTCCCTTGGGGGATGTGTACTTAGCCTTGGCGGCCTTAGGGCCTGGGTTGGTGTGGAATCCAAAAAAAGAGTTGCTGGCAGCTCCAAACTGGCCACCATACATGCTGCTGTAGCGACGAAAGGTGCCATTTGGGAAACTGTAATCCTTGCTGTCCAGGGAAGGGCTTCTGTGATAGGTCGACTCATCCGTGCTAGACCTGCGCATGGTGCCTTCGGCTTGTCCACTCACAGCTGCTGCTCTCACAGTCGTTGGATGCCAATGGTGTGGGTGAAAGGTTTCTGATTTATTTTATTTTTTTCCTCCTTCTTGCTATAAAAATCCCCTATTGCTTTGCACCAGCTGTTCTTTTGTCTGCCATCCTATCACGGAGTTGCCTGTGCGGTAGAGCAGCAAAGTTTGCCAGCTGAAGTCTGCTCAGCCAGGAGCTAGGGAGCAGCGTGCTTCCCCACGAGAAAGGCTCCTGCACGCGTGAACATGCCCTCCGGTGTCACAGCCGTCCCTCTTGGCCCACCCCACTAACAAACGGGGAAAAAAAAAAAAGAGAGAGAGATATACTGTACCCAAAGCAACGACTTTTAAAAAAAGGAAGCGTGGCCTCGCCCGGGTTGCCAGGGCCACACAAAACCCCAGCCCCACATGCCACGCGCGGCAAAGAGCGCGCCCTGCACGGGACTCGCGTGCAAGGACAGAAATGACCCGAACGGCAGGCAGCTCCCGTGGCCCTTTCCTCTTCGCCACGCCGCTCTGCCCCGAGACGCCGGGCTCACTTCGCAGACCATCCCCCCGCATCCCCCCGCATCCATCCCCCCGCGGGCAGGCGCGGAGCCCCGTTCGGCGCAGCCGCCCCTCCTCCCCGCACCCGCGCCAATCGCGCTGCCCGCCCGGGAGGACGGGCCGCCTCCCCCCTTCCGGGATGGGGCGGCCGGAGCCCCCGCCCCGGGCCCCGCGTCCCTCCCGCTCCCGAGCTCGCAGCGACCGCACGGAGATCCGGCCCGAGTGACGGCGCTGCCCGCAGTGACACGCAGGCGGTGCTGCCCAAGGAGACGGGAGTGTTGTCATTCCCGAAGCTCGGGATGCTTTGCGGGTGCGGGGTCGGGAACAGCCCCCGCTTCCTCTGCGGGAAGGCTCGTTCATTCCCCGGGAGATCCAGTACCTGCGTTGTTGCCGTTCAGTTCCACGGAATCGGAACTCGGCAAGATGTGTGGCCGGCTCATTAAGGTCTCTAGCGGGTAACTCACTGACAGGCATCACAGCCCCTACGCTGGGGAGCCCTGCCCTAGAATCTGGCTATTCCCACAGGCAGTAATGAGTTGAAAATCTGCCATGCAACTTTTTCAGAAAGGAAAAATCCGACTGAACCTGTGGTAATTACAGTATTAATACTCGGGAAAGCAAGACTCATTTACCATCTTTGCCCTAAATTCCCTGTGAGAGTAACTCTTAGTCTCTCTATGTATCACTCCTTAATCTGTAAAATGGAGATGGCCTTTTGCTGCCTTCCTTCTCTCATCTCTGCCTTATGATTTTGACTATAAACTACTAGAGCTTAGTGAGAACACGTCTGCACAGCATTTTTAAAAGGCTTGCCCCATCAAAGAAATAATTCAAGATGGAAAGAGCTTTCTTGCAGGAATCATCTTGCCAGTCAGAGCACAAATCAAGAGATCCAGGCACCAATTAATTAAAGAAATTAGTAAAAGTAAAATGAGCTGGTTTTGCACATAGCCTGAGAAGTTCACCCTTGCAAACCACCCTCTATTTCTGTTAATTTACAAACTGCAAAGCCAGAGTCTAATTATCTCCCATCATTTCCTCCACAAACTATAAATACATTTGGCATACTTGGTGCAAGCTTTGAAGAAAAAGAACTTGAACACAAAACACAAGGGTAATAACTCCTGTACCATCTGTTTCAACAATTCTCAATGACTCGCAACTTCTCCACTTTTTAATTTCCCTACCTCTAAGAACAGAGATACTACATAGCCCTGATGGAGCTCACTCTTCTACTCTTCCTCCCTTTCCTGCGTGGTATAAATGGTCACCAGAAAGGAGTCTTCCTTTCCTAGGATAAAGATGGTCCCAGTCCCAGATGTTCTCAGTCTGAGTTTCCAACACACCTATTGTTTCTCCCATGGCACCAAACAGTTCTGCCTCCAATCTTCCTCCTTGTTTGTAAGGCAACTAGACCAGTTTGGCAACAGTATCCCAAAGGTAATTCAAACATTTTCTATGTCCCCTGTCAGAACAGAAATGTCGATGCTCAAAGCTCCATATTAAATGGCAAAAACAAGTACTGGGTACAGCTATGCACAAAGATTATGAAAGTGTCTAGTTAGATAAGCGTTATTTAACAAGGGTGCCCAAGGTATTGGAAGCACGTAACAGAGACCATTTTGGCATATTTACTCTAAACTAGACATCTGAAGGTTCAAAAGCAGCTCACTTGGATAAGAAAAGGGATAGAAATCACTTGATTTCAACCTTTCTTTAAGATAAGAAATTATCAATTCCCAAGAGAATTCACTCCTTAATATGGGTGGAATAAAGGCAAGATCTGAGACAGAAGGGAGAGTTTCTAAATGTTGCTTTTTAAATAAAAAATATTAAACATTGACACACAGTGGCTGTATTTCAGACAGATGCAGAAAAACACATTAAGTCCCACACGACCCTTCCCATTAAAGGGGGCTTTTACCCCAGCCTCCTTCCACCAACATCCCGTAGCACTCTTCATTGAAATGACAACTTGTCAAAGGCACTTAAGAGTAAAATTTAGCTCTCAAATCATTGCTGTTCTTCATTCTCATACCAATATCAACAGCTAATTAGAAACAGAGTCATTTGGGATACAGATTTTATACAGTTCCAGAGCAATTCTTCTATTAAATCTTCTGCATTCTTCTATTAAATCTTTTGCTCTAGGAAACCCAGCCAGAGTTGCTAGCCTAAATGGGAAATCCTGGAGATAGCAACATTGCACCAGCAGGCTAACAGCAGCTTTGATGACATACTTACATGAAGAAATAAGACCTTGCATGGAAACAGTAGAAAAGCTGTAAAAAAGAAGGGTGGATGTACTCTACTTTTGCCCATTGCTATTGGAAAGTGGATGAAAGGGGCAGGGATATGCTGGGATCTGTGTCAACATTTAAGCCATTGCAATAAAGCAATGCTTACATGAACCAAGAACAATAAACATCCAAAGCATAGCATCACTGTGACATTGTGTCCATAAGGGTGACTGAAGGGGCAGGTGAACTACAGCTTTCACAAAACTTTTTGTTGATGACTGAGCCTAAAATCACAGCCTAGAGCTAGTGACCTCTGTTCACCTCAGCTTTCAATCTACCATTTCTCTCCCCAGCTGCATCTGTGTATTGCCACCCTGTGGCAAATTCATATTGATTCCTCAACACAAGAAAGCAAGCACTGTGCAGTCCTGCCAGCAGAGGTTCAATCTGTATTGATCCTAGTGGAATGCTACCATTTATGCTGTAACACCTGTGTCCCTGCCACTTTGACTGGGGGGCTGGTACTCTTCTGTGTCTCCAGCCCAAACCCTGGCCGTGAAATAGGAAAGGAAGCACTTTAAAGATGTCATATAAGCTCCAGGCAATAGGTAGAAGCTGTAAAAGGTTTGAGCATCACCAGTAGAACTGTTAATAGTATTAGTCCTCACACCCTTTCTCAGAACAGCCTGATCCAAGGCTTCAGCTATCACCTGAAAACACACACCTATTGTTCAGCCCGCAATTCCCATCTGCCAACCTCAGCCCTTACTGGCAG